TGCAGCTTCTCCCTGCAGCAAGGGAGCGCTGGGAACGGGGCTGGGGAGCGGGCTGGTGGCGGTTGGTTTTCCTAATGTGCCCGTCTAAAGTTTGGGGTCTTGATTGCATTAACAGCCCCAGCAGCCTGGGAGAGTTTGAGCTGGGTTGTGTGCAGAATCGGGCCCCTGGCTTCCTCTTGCTGGGGGGGGGTGCCAGGGTGCGGAGAGCTGGGGTCTCCTCCCCTCCGGGGGGCAGCTCTGTGGGACTCCGTGGGTGCTGTGGGTGCCTTGTTTTGGGCTTCCTGAGGGGGCCGTGCAGCCTCTCCTCCCTGGCTGCTGGCACAAGGGGCTGTGCCTGGCGTTGGGTGATGATTTCCCGGTGCATGGTCCATGCTGGGCTGCCTGAGCTTCGGGGAGGCCAAGCTGAGCTGGCCGGGCAGGGAGGGAGCCCCTGGGGTCCTGAGCCAGCCTGGTGCATGGGTGCCACTGGGTGCTGCTCCTCCTCCCCACTGACGGTGGGTGCTTTCTCCCCGCCCCGTAGCTGTGTGCCCCTCAGACCTCCAGCAGCTCTGGAAGGAGGTCACGGCCGCCCAGCCCGTCGAGGACAGCATTAAGCAAGAAGGTCTCGACCTCACCACCAACACCTCCAACTCTACCTCGTTTTCAGCCGCCAAGGTCTCACCTCCCATTTCCCATCACCCTCTGCCCAATGGACAGAGCACCATGCACACGCCGAGAAGGGACAGGTAGAGCCGGGTCGGGCCCTGGCGCTTTGTGTTTTTACCCCTGGAGAGGTGGAAGGGGCCAGGATCTGTTGCCCGTGGGGCTGGCGACAGGGTTGGGAGGGTGGGGGGTTTCTGCCCACTCCATAAACAGGTCCCGTCCATGTTCTGCTGCACCCATGTGCCCATGGAGTGCAGGGAGCCATTGCTGTGGGGTCTCCCGTGGGTCCCCGAGGGCTGGCCCTGTGCACAGCAGCACTGGAGCGTGACGGCTGCCCCATCTCACAGTCCCTTTCTGGTTTCTGCAGCTCTTCCCACGAAGAGACTCCCAGCTCCCACCCGCTCTACGGCCACGGAGAGTGCAAGTGGCCTGGCTGCGAAACCCTCTGTGAGGACTTGGGACAGTTTGTCAAGTAAGCGCTCCCCTTTTTTGGGGGGGAGGTTTTCCTGGAGGATGGGAGAGCCCATGTTTTTGGGCTGGGACACCATGGGGCTGGTGGAGGGGGAGACCCTGGAAATGGGTCCAGACACCCCAAAGAGGTGCCCAGAGCTGGGGGGTCCCATGCAAAAGGAGAAAAGACCAGGGATCGCTGCTGGAGGAGAGGGACCCAATGCAGCAGGCAGGAGCAGGCAGCAGGCGAGGGGAGTTTGCAGCTCCCCTCCTGGGGGGCGAGAGGAGGGGAAGAAGCAGATGGCGGCGCGGCAGCCCGCTGACACCGCTTGTGGGCTCCAGCGCTGACTGATTAACTCCGCTGTCGAAGAGCCCTCTGCTAGCGTCAGGGTCAAACAAATTGTTTTCACGCTTCGTCAGAGGTTTACTTAATTAGTTCATTTGCAATTAGATCTCTTTGTAGCCAGGATTTTTAGCAAAGACATCAGAAGGAACTGACGGGCTTGCTCACTCCTTCCCCCCCCCCCCCCCCCTCGCCTCTCCGGCTGTCTGCTCGGCGCGGCGGCCGAGACGCACCAGCGTGCACTTCGCTCTTCTTCCATGAGATTTTGGGTTTTTACAAAGCAATCCTGTCCGCTGCCACACACTCGGGGCTGGCTCCGGTGGGAGCATCCCTCAGCCTCCTCGGTCCCAGGGAAGGAGCTGGGCAAAAGCCTTGCGCAGGAGGATGAGGAGGTGCGAAGGCAGCCTGGGGAGACTGAGGGAGCGTTGCATGGTGGAGATTGAGTGAGTTTACGTGTTTACATGGCACGGGGCAGATGAGCAAGCTCTGGTTTGGAAGCTGGAGCTGGGGTTGGCAGGGGATGGCCAGGGCTGGGTCGTGATGCTGGGAGAGCCTTGCTGTGCCGGCCGGGGCTGCAGGGTCCCTGCACCCTCTGAGCACACCCAGTGCTTGCAGGAGCAAGCTTCCTGAGGGGCAGCCTCCCCGACAGCACTAGTGAAGGGTTTCTGTCCCCTCTCTGCCAACGTGAGGACGTGTCGGGGTGTGGGACAGACAGACGGAAAACTTCCAGCTCCCAAAGGCTGAGCCCAGCTGCAGCGTGGACCTTGCTTTGAGTCCGGGCACTGGCTTCAAGCTTCCTCTGAGCATCACCTCCATGGAGTCGCTCGGAAAGCATTGGGGTGGAAAGGGGCAGTGTGTCCTGGGAGCAGTGGTTTATAAAAGCCCAGGAGGGTCGGTGGGAGACGTCTCCATTCCCGCTCAGCACAGCCTAGGCCCTCAGTAGCCTTTTCCTTGGAGAAACAGCCGTGCCCTCGGTCTGCCGTTGCAGGGAGAGGAGCGGGCGGCTTGGTCCGGCCGCAGCCCTGCAGAGCAGAGCCGGGCTGAGACACCGGCGGAGTTTGCTCACATACAGGCTTGGCAGCTGATCCCAGTTACCTAACTTGTTTTTGCAAGTTGGGGCTGGAAGTCTCTCACAAACAGCCAGGTGAGACTCCCGCCGTCTTCTGCATCTGGACCGAGGGTAGATACTCCTGGGGTACCTTCTCCTGGGATGCCTCAGCAGAAATATCTCAGTCTTGGTCCTGGAGAGCGTTGGCCCCCGGCCCTGGGACACCTGCATGTTTCCCAGCGTCGGATGTGAGCTTTCGGGATCTTCCCAGGGTGGCCCTGGTACAGTTTGCCCTGCTGCCCAGCATCCCCCTTCCGACCTGTCCCACTCCGCCAGTGAGGATCCCCCTGGGTTTGCACCCACCCCAGCAAGGACATGGCCCGGCCATGTGATGTCTTTGGGGCTGGGTGCATCCCCAGGCTGCTGCTTTGCTGGGGCGGGGGGCAAGGACCCCCACAAGTCGATGCTGGGCTCTGCAGTAAGTGACATCCCCGTCACCGGCTGCCTCTGCCAGGAGCCTTTCCCCTCCCCGAGAAGGAGGGAGGGCATTCGAGGACCAAAGGTCCTTGTGCTTTATAAACAAACATAAGGCAGGAAAGTGGTAGGATTGAGGAGCACCCCGGAAATGTCACCTTCTGCCTTCAGGGGTTTCCTTACAGGGTGTAGGTAAACCTCCATAATGCCGCCTTTGTCCTGGAAACCTGCTCTTCAGGTCCTCCTGGGTGCCTTCTGCCAGCAGCCTTCCCAAGGACTTCCCATCAACCGGTGCCTGCTCTGAAACCCCGCGGGGCTGCCAGGGGCAGGGCTGGTTGTCTATGGCCGCCCTCCAGCCTGGGTTTGGGGAGGAGGCACAGCCCAGTTTGCTTGGCTGCCTTTGTGCCTCAGTTTCCCTTCTGCTCGTCACGCTTTGGGCAGCAGCGCCGGAGCATCCCCGGTACAGGCGATGCCTCACCGGCGGCCCTGGGTGTTGCTGTGGTACAGGCGGTTTGCAGGTCGGGGCTGATCCCAGGTGTGGCCCTGGCAGAGGGGCCAATTCCGGGCATGTCCAGACGTAAACCCCTGTGTTCTTCTCTCCAGACACCTCAATACAGAACATGCACTTGATGACCGAAGCACGGCCCAGTGTCGAGTCCAGATGCAAGTGGTACAGCAGCTGGAAATACAGGTGGGTACTGCCCCAGCCCCGAAGGATGCACGTTTAAAAAGCCATCTCCTTCCCAACTCTGCGTGCCGTGTCTTGGCTGCTCTCTGCAGGAGGGAAGTAGCGAGACTGGGGACCGCTGGCAAGATAACCAGCCACCCCAGTGTCACGGGGGCTCATCTTAAGCATCCTTCCCAAAGAAAGGTGCTGCCCCTGGCCAGGCAACGGTCCTGTTAGGGATCAAAACCTGGAGGACCCTTCAGCTGGTTCCCCCTGCAATACCAGCATCCCTGCATGATGCTGATGGGGCTGGAGGAAGGGACAGGCTGTCCCTCATGCCCAAAGTGTCCCTGTGGGTACAAGGAGATGCCACCAGCCTGGAAGGCAGATGCTGCCTGGGGGTGCCCAGAGGCGGGATGTGAGCTGTGCCCCAGCCCTGGGCTCTTTGGAAATCAGGCCACGGATGAGCATGGTTTTTGGAGCCCAACTTCAGGGTGCTATTATTTTTGGACCAGTTCTTTAAATAGTGCCTTTCCCAGCATCTCCGACTCCCTGACGTGCCATGCGTAATTCGGTTAATAGAGATGAGAGGGGGGGGAAATGGGAGGAAATTGAGAGTGTTCATCTTGGGACTTGAAAGCCATCGAGGGGAACGGTGGGACGGGGCAGGGGGTCGCTCACCAAGCCCCCGACGGCGTGACGGTGCCTGAGTGCCCGGCTGTTTGGCCAGGGGCTGGCAGGGGCTCGAAGTGGTTTGTGCCCATCGCAGCGCTCGCTGATGGGTCTCATCGCGGGGGATGCCAGCCCTGGGGGCCAGCGGGCTGCGATGTGCGGCCACCTTGGCAGCCTCTGCCTGGAGTTACGATAACTGGGGCTGCAGGGTTGGGGGGGGACGACAGCAAAACCTTCCCAGGGTGGGGAGGCTGTGAAGCCGCCTGGGCGAAGCTGTGTGATCGCATCCTGCTCCCCAGCCCTCGCTAACGCAAGAGGTTGAAAGCAATTACTGGGGCTTAAAGAGGGGAGGGAAAGGAAAGGGAAGGGGGGGGGAAAGCTGATGGGCAAGCAGAAAGCTGTGTGTGCAGAGAGGAGAACCTGCCACCGGAGCTACCAATTATAAAGTTTTCAGCGCGGAGCTCCCGCTGTGCCGGCGGAGAGCGTCTGCATCACGAGGGGAGACCTGTCAGCTCTAATGAGCACCACGACAGCGCGAAAGCATCCGAGCTGCTCCAAACTTGCAGCAAACTCTGCTCTGGCTCCTGCCTTTAACTCCTTCCTCGCCCAGCTCCGGCGCCTGCCCAGGGAGGGGGCTTGGCTGGGGGGGAGATGGCAGCACACGGGGACACGGCCGAGCCCCGAGCTTGAGGGGCTGTGGTGGAAAGGGAAAGGGATGGGAAGAGAGCGGGTGTCAGATCCCATCGCCTCCACCGGGCTCAAAATCTCTCCTAGTGCCACAGTGAATATTTCACCCTTCTCCACACAAAAAAAGAATGCGCAATTAAAGCGATGTTGCGCGTCCGGGTGGATGGATGGATGGATGGACGGAGGGATGGGTAGATGGACAGGGAGCTGCTGGTGAGCAGGAGGCATCAGAGGCTGGAGGAGGGCGAAGGGGATGGGGACGGGGACGGCTGGCACCAGGGTGCGGGGACCAGAGCACCCGGGAGGGAGAGCGAGGGCTGCAGTGGGTGGCCAGGACGGGGCTGTGCTGGTGGGTGGCAGCCTGAAGGTGTGAGAAATTATTCTGTTTCACCATAGAGTTTTCATCTGGCTGCACGTGTGGAGCTGGAGCAGTGGCAGTCCCCGTGCTCCCTCCCGCAATGGGTGCCATAGACCCCTGCAGGGCTACGGTCCTGCCGGGGCTCTCAGGAGGGCTCAGCATCAGGCAGGAGGTGGCTCCTGTGGGGACACAGGAGGAGGCTGCCTGCCCAGAGCCAGGGCTGGGGGCTCAGCAGGCGGCTCCTTCGGGCCATGGGCACCTCCGTGGGTGACTGCCAACACTGCCCGACCATCTCCCTTCTGCTTCTTGCCTCCTGCAGCTGGCAAAGGAGAGCGAGCGTCTCCAAGCAATGATGGCCCATCTTCACATGAGACCTTCAGAGCCAAAGCCTTTCAGCCAACCTGTAAGCATGCATCCCCCTCCTGCCCTTGTGCATCCCCCTCCTGCCCTTGTACAGCCCTGCAGCCGCCCACTGTCCTCCCCTTTCCCCTTGCTGCTGGCTGCTGTCCCCTCCCTGCCCTGCGCATGGTCACCGCGGCCCGGCTGGATGGGCTCCCTGGGACGGGCATGCCCTGACTCTGCTCTGGCACATGTAGCCTGGTCCCTTGTGCCGGCGCAAGGCATCAGGCGGGGGTGAAACGCAGCCTGTGTCAGTGTGTTGTGCTGCTCCACCAGCTCAGACATGTAGTGGTTGCATCCCCTCCCGCAGTTGCATCCCCTCCGGTGGTTGCATCCCCTCCCTCGGTTGCATCCCCTCCCGCGGTTGCATCCCCTCCCGCGGTTGCATCCCCTCCCATGGTTGCATCCCCTCCCATGGTTGCACCCCATCCCTGC